TCATTCATATAGTACTGGGATAAGTGTGATAGGTTTACATAAATATAAGAGAATTTTTTCATATATTGAATATTTTAATAGGACTTAGAAAATAATTCGACTATATCGTATTCATAATATTGATTGAGAATTTTATAAGATTGTAAGAATTTTATAAAATAGACGCTATTTTGTTAACATTATTAATGCTTATGTAACTTTCATAATCATACAATTTCATTTTCAATAAATTAGTCGGATGTTATCGATATACGATGTTCTTGACAGTTTATGCGAAATAGAAAGTTGTAATCTTACGATTGAGGAATATATAAGCATAGGATGAACTAGCACGACGTGAAAGGTGTTAATAAACATAAGCTTCCTGTAAGGCATGACATAAAAGCCAGCTTCATGTCCTTTCCCCATTTATAGTCGCATCATCATGAATATCTCAAAAATTACATGTATATATTCTTTTCATGAGATCATATCTCCCTAGAAGTATAAATGAATGAAAATGTATGTATTTCTCTTAAGAAATCTTAAAATTGTTTTAAAAATATTATTAATAGCTTGCAAAATATATTTCTAATGAACATATTTATTAAAATAATGCGAGAATACTTTCTTAAATATTTTATTATTAACGAAAAATTTCAAAAATTAAAATTTTGCTATTCTCGCAGAGTCATATATAGTTTCTAATATATATATATATATAATATAATATAATATATATTATATTATAATATATATATTTATAATAAATATCGATTAATCATGGATGTAATATAATTTTTGCAAAATGCGTGCTCTTTGCGTACGCACAAAGGTCCAGAATGACTAAACTTGCGAATTTAGATCCAATAAAACGCGATCGTAGATACATACTATGCGCACAATACACGTATATAGTGCATACGTAAGGCAAAGACAACGATGTGTGCTACTGAAACTCGAAAAAGCTCGCTCGAGATAGACGAGCTCGAGCTCGATGGCGCACTCTTGCACTCACAATACCACGCGAGTGCGTGCACATACACAAGAGCCAAGTGTCACGCTGGCCGACCTCTCTCAAGAGGAGGCCGCCGTAGGTTAGTGCATTGGCTGCACTTTCCATCTCGGTGTGTGCACGTACGTACTTATAGTCACGACGCGGTGACGGACGGCTCTCTCGCTCGCTCGCGAGCGCGCGCGCGCGCGCGAGCGAGCGAGCGCCCGAGGCGGTCGTATGCATGCATTGGTTACGCAAGAATAGCGGCGTGTGTGAGACTGCTGACCCACATACGGCAGGGAGCAAAGACCCCTCGCTGCTACGACTCGTATACTCCCGACCCGAGCCGAGTCTATGCACATGTATGTGTGTATATGTGTGTGTGTGCGTTGCGAGGTGTGCACATGCGTGCCTCGCAGAGATGCGCTTCGCTCTGACGTGTGCGCGTGCATTCTTGTATCGACGCACACACACACATACACTCGCCCGCGTAGCTAATTAAGCACCGTTCACATCACTTGCGCCGATCTGGCCATTTCTTCGGAGATGTAAAATTCATATTTGTCTTTCTTTTATTGATCTTGCTACCTCTATCGATCCTATCTCCGTTTCTAAAATAGAGGCCGCACTATTATGCAGCACTATACTTTTAATATTGTTCAGTTTCGTAACTTTATTAGGTCTCTTATTTTTAAATAAGCTTGTACGACGTAAGAAAAAAGATTATTATATTTAATTAAAATCCTTTGATAGAGCGTAAAAAAAGTGTGCACAGTAAAAGCATAAAAATGCATTCAAATGTACAAATAATACGTTTAAATTTAAATGTTTTAAATATTTGCAGGAGTAAAATAATCAAAAGAAGTTAAAGACCAAAAAGCGTGTGTTGATCTGTCAGCCTTATATATATTCAAATTTTTCATCATAAAACTTTGTATTTTTTTTTATGTCCGAGTTTAAAATTTTAACTAGCCTTTTTTTGTTTTAATATCAGGGAGTTTATTTTATTTTCTATGCTGAGAAATGTTAAAATTTTTTATAACGTTTAATTACCTCATAATTTTTAATTTTTTTATAACTGTAAATATAGCCAAATTAATTATTGTGATATTTCAGATCACAAACATGACCGTACTTTTTTAACGGTATTTGCAAAATGATATCAAATTATTGCATAATTTGCTGCATGTGAAAAAAAAAACGAAAAAAAAAACGTTCTTAAGCGCAAGAAAATAATTTATGAATACAGTAGCAACACACGTACACACACAAACTAGCAGGTGATTTGCTGGACGATATTAATTAAACATGAAACTTGCTTATAAGTATAGCTACATACTTCTTGCAGTTAGACTATCACTAGTTGAAGGTGCGTAGGAGTAACTGCAAGAAGTTCTACGGTACTCTAGAATAAACAACTTTCGAAATGGAGATAGACAATGTTGCAGAATATTAATGTCGCTCAGATTAGTTGAACGAAGTTTGCGCGTTGAAAACAAACAGAAGGTTCCTCGCACGGAGTATATCTGCTTTGATGAACTTCTCTTCCTTGCATCTTTATCAAATAATTCTTCCGAAATAAATATTCCGACACATTTATAGCATTATCAGACTAAGCAAAAAAATATAATTAAACAATTCATTTTTTATGTACATACATATCAAATATATTTTGATTTTCTGTAAATAACCGTATCATAAATGTAAAGAATTACAAAGACATTTCTAGATCCATCTTATTTTTTCTTTCATGAGAATTGAGTAATTTTTTAAAACATTACATAAACGTAATTTATTTATAATTTTAAATATTAATTTTTATTTTATAGAAGTGAGTTGCTATTTTGGATCAAACTCTATTATGTATATATATGTGTGTGTATGTGAATTAAAAATTTAAATAATAAAAAAATTTATATAATATTTTCAAAGTATATATAAATATTTTAATTATATATTTTATAATAATGAAAATTTACATAACCTTTTGCTTAGAAAATTCTTCGCTTAATATTAATGTCGACTCTCAATTAACAGTTTGCGTTTGTTTCTAAATGTAAATTATTCCTACTTCAAGGAAATTGTTGGCATATATATCACGTTCAATTTTCATCCAAGTAAATTCGGAAACTGTTTGAATATATAATAAAACTTGAAATTGAATTCAAGGAGACAATTTGTGCTAGTAAGTAATGCGTAAGCATTACATTTCGTAAAACTGTTTTTACTGGAAAATAAATACCACGATATATCGAATATCGGTTATACGCTTTAGCGTAAAACGTTAATATAAAAACATAATACGAATGGAATATGTACTTGTAAGATATATTGTGAATTTTATTATGAGAATGAAAATTGTGTGTGAACAACTTTTTAAGAAATAACTAAAATGTTTATTTGCAACTGTAAATATTATATTTTTTATAAGAATAAATTGAATCTACTACTTTTGAATCAAAAGTAATTTATTATTAATTAAAAATATAAATATATATTTTACAACCTAAACTTTTATCGAGAGGATTGAGATTTTTTATTTAAAAGTCTCAGAAAATATTGTTAGGCAAACTTATACTTTATATTAAAAACTATTCCTTTCTCTATATGAGATACTATTTTTAGAGAAATTAAAGCATCTAACCATGAAAACATGTGTCATGTCTGTTTTAACAAGTGCACTATATCGCACTTGTTGCATTCAAGCTGAATAAATATATCTACTAGAGAATAAGAAAAGAAGAGAATAGATAAAAATTAAAAAAAAAAAAAAAGAATATGAAAAAGTACAGAGACAAAAAATAAATGTCTCGTGATGCAAGATGCAAATAAATGTTGCAACAACGCTCGAGCAAGACGTGCATATTTCTCGGAACGAAGACACGGATGAGGCGGCGCATAAAAATTCACGCGATTGATGCGCATCATCGCCCTTATTAAAACGACCCTCGGCGCTTAGGTCGGGCACTGTCGTAAAACCGCTTAGACGTCCGATCTTTCTGACCGTACGACCGATTGAGGCGACAGCTCCGGGCAATTGTTCGCCGTCCGTCCCCGCGATTTGTTGTTATCGTCGGTCTCGCATTATTAAAATGACCCCCCGTTGCACCCGCTTTCGTCTCTCATAGACCTAGTCTCGTCCAGCGCTAGACCGAGGAGGGCGGATGAACGCGCTCGTAAAACTCGTAAGCCGATCTCGGGGATTTATTGTACCATGTCGGAGTCGGCACGCACACATCGACACTCGTCTTTAATTATTCCATTACGATACAATGTACGATGCGACGCGCTATGGTACGCATATTGTACGTATCCCGAGAACCTTATGAAACAAAAGTGTCTCGCGGTAAACGATACATGCATCGCCGCGATGCAACTGCCGATCCAATTGTACGTTATTGCCGACTAAAGCGGGGTTAATGGCGAACTATGCGTTCGCCGTAATCGTACACACGTACTTTCACATCGCGAACCGATCTCCTCGCAATAGCCGCTAACTATTCGCTTATATGTGCGCGAGATGAATCCCGACTTTTTTTTGAGAGAGCAAGTGCATCAGAAACACGAAAGTAAAACAGAAATTTTCGCGAAATACAAATATTTATTTTTGGGGCGAACAATCGACGGTTTATCTGTCAAAATTGAATTGTATTTAAGATCTATAAATAACATTAAAAACGAATAATTTTTAATTTCAATTTTATATATGTGATATATGTGATTATTCAATTATATGCAAAAGATAAAATTAGATTTATCTTGAATGCATATGCGATCAGTGAAGGTTAAACTGGAAATTGACAATTTAATTTTGATAAGAATAGACGTAAATAGATATTATTTTCACACACGATACATTTAAATATAATTTTTATCGAAATATAAATTTATTCAAATTCAATGTTGATTTTTTCTCCTTGAAGACAAGATTATTCATGAATAGGTATGCAACTCATTAGTGGTTATGAATAATTTTCACTTAGCAAACGCTGATTTATTAATCCTTGCCATTTTCTGCTTTCAGGAATTATGACCCTTCCGAGCAGCCCGTGTGAGATAGACAACATGAGCTTGTTTCAAGATCTCAAGTTGAAAAGGAGAAAGGTCGACTCCCGATGTAGTAGCGACGGTAAGAATATCGCAGCAACAGATCGCACAAAAGAATCGAATGTAGAATTAATATACAGCGTATTTATCATGGAAAATATCGGAAAACAGTTTTTTTTTATAGGAAAAAAGTTTTTTTTTATAAGATGCCTCGTTTTTTAGCGATTTGTTTTTAGCGATGTTGCAACTTGTTATTATCTATTAATATATTATTAATAATTTATTTAAAGTTGCTTTATCGTATTCGTTCATCAAATGTTTCGATAATAATCGCTACAAAAAAATAAGCAAATAAGGATACGCAAAAACGAAAAATACAAGATAAATAAGTAGAAAACGAGATTGTCTAGAGATGAGATATAATGCTTAGAATCTAGATTCGATTCTAATGGTTGACGTAATCGCGCCACGAAGAATCATATATCACTGTCGAGCAAATTATGATGCACTGGCCGATCTTTTCATATTGAGATTACTCGGAACAAGTTGTAAAACTGACCGATTCAAACGTAACGATTATTTACCACCCGGTAATGGAGAAACGACGTTTGATATACGCATAATAATGATGATTTTTATAACCGACAGTGAATGAGAAATCGTTCCAATTATAGACGATGCAATTAATCTTCTTCACTTTACGAAGTATATAAAAAGTATGTAATTTTACTATTATATAAATATCATAAATATAAAAAGATTATTATTTTTTTAGGTAATTTTTTATATATTATTAACGATTATTCTATTTTTCACACAATTTTATGTATTTTTTTATTTTTTGTCTAAATCAGAATTATCTAAATTATTATACAATTATATCGAAATAATTAATTTTATTTTCGACAAATATATGTGTGATTGATATATTTTTTCTAAGAAAATCAACTCAATCTACATAAAATATCGATCGATTGAACGATTAATCGTGTCATTTGCAAAATAATTTCTCGACAATTTATATTTTACTTATTAATTGACATTTATTGTTCAATCTTTTACATTTCTCATTATCGTATTAATTACGCGATTACGTCATACTCGCGAAATTGACATTTCATTTTATGGAGTCAAGGATAATTTACGCACGTGGAATTAATATTAAATTCAAACAGACCACATATCTCATGCACATACATATCATATCGGATAAAATATCTTGAAAATGATAGTTGAGTACAAAAGCATTTTAGTATCGTATAAATGATTTTGATAATAAAAACAAATAAAATGTACAATTTAATTGATTTAAAATTACTGTAATTAGATTAAAAAATTTCTTCATTTTACATAAATTCTCGAGTAGGATTTATTCCTTTTAAAGATTTCTCCCCCACTTGTAGCAAAAAAGCTCTATAGACTCTACTCTATCACTTACATAGAAAAAATAAATCGTGACGTATTTTCATCGCGTTGCTTCCTATCAATATATAATTTTCTTCGGCAGTAAATCTCCAGTGGCTCAATCCTTCGCACATCCATCTCGACCACCATTCACCATTCATTTCATTCAGTCTCCGGATTTCCCGTGCTGCGCGCGCGCGCGCTTATCCCGCGTGTTACTCGTCCGTTCTTTCTTTCTCTCCCTCCTCGTATATTTTTTTCCATTCCTACTCCTCCGTTCGAACAACGCGTTACAGCAGTCTTGATTTTCTTATTGAGCCTTGGTAGCTTCCGCGAATGATCGGGAAGTGGAAACGGGAGGGTTGTCGGTGCGAGGGCAGAGGTTGAGACGTGGGTGGCGCGGCAACGGAATCGCTAGCTAGCTCAGGGAAGTTAAGTACGAAGCGAGACAGACAGACAGAGAGAGAGAGAGAGAGAGAGAGAGAGAGAGAGAGAGAGAGAGGTAGAAAGAGAGGAGAGGGAGAGACCCAGAAGGGAGAAGGAGGCTCGGGATGGTTGCTGCCGGCGGTGCAGGGTTGAATATCAACCCACGCGGTCGTCCCGGACGTGCACCGGTGTTAGTTCGGCTTCGTCTGAACTCGCGTAACCACGCGGTCGTCTGTCGCGCGGAAAAACGCGCGAAAAGCGGACGTTTCCGCTCGGGAGCGAGCGGAAGGGCCGAGGCTGGAGGAGGAAACCGACGGAATCGAGCGCGACGCGAGCGAGTTGACGCGGCCACGCGGTGTGAATCGCGTCGAACGGACGTCGTCGTCGACGTTGACGTTGACGTCGTATGGTAAAAATCGCGCGCACATCACATCACGACGTGTTGCCGCGGCCACTGCACATCGGGCTGCATCGATTTTTCGACGCGCTCGCACAAACACGACCGATACCAATGACCCTCGACCTACGGCCGGTTTAAAGGTCAGAGACTGGCGTTGGCCGCGAATCGGGAGAGTCTGTCGAGAGGCCGTCGTCGAACCGGAGCAAGGTGCTGGCGAGAACGCGAGAGGGAGAGAGGCTGGACCGCCTTTTCGACGTCGATCTCTTCCATACGTGAATCGAGGGAAACGTGCATTCTGACCGTTCCGGTTTCTCGAGGAGAACGTACGCTCCGATGCCGTGACCCGCGGAATCATTGATCTTTCTTGGTCGCCGCCGCCGCACGTGTACGTCATATACAGTTCAACAAATATACGACGCAATTATCCAGACGACGCCGACGCCATCGCGAGAGACGCTCGTGAAGATCGAGAAATGATCGTTTCGGTGGGAACGCGAATTTCTCCATCATTGTCCGCGCGATCGATGTACTCGATCGACCATCCTCAAGATTCATCGACGTGGCAGATTGGAATAATCTATTTTTTCACGCGATTACGATTGTATAGTTCTACATTAAACCGCTCGCAATAGAAATATATCTGTAAAATATATCTGAAAAAAATAACGTGAAAATGATATGATTTAATACTTTCTTGCGATAGATGAAACAGACTGACGCAATTTAAAAAACAACGAGATAGTATATATATTCTGTACAAACACTTGGCGATTCGTAGAAAGATGATGTTCACGTGTAAGGAAGAGGTTTGGGAAGAGAGGTGACCGATCAAAGCAATGTTACATCACTTAATCCGTGACGTGCGATTTTCGGCATCGTGAATGAAAAGTGGTGATGTTTTCGCTTTAATCAGGCCTATCCATGCTTTAAGAATGAATTGCTACGATTCATACTTTCTACGAAAAACTCTGACGTTACTAAAATTATAAAAAATATACGTCGTGATAATTATATTGTGATTTAAGTTTGTAAGATCGATCGAGATTTCTCGATAATTTTGACGTCAATTAACCGAAAGGAAAAATTCGGTTGGACATTTCAAGAGTGATATATTTTTCCAAATATTCACATATATATATATTTTCTAAATAAACAAGAAAGAAAGATATAGACGGCAGAAAGAGAAACATATCACTTAAAAGTCAGATTCTATTTTTATGTGTCAACTTTGATTGACGATTGAAAAATGATAGAAGAAAATCTTATTCTACACGCGATTTTACACGAATTTAAAATCATCTACACAAGATATCTTTATTTTTGTAATAACAAAAATGAAATGGCAAATACTTCTTTTACGAATTACATAAATACATAAAGAATAAATGCAACAATTGCTACGATATCGAAGACAATCCATAAGAAGAGTAAAATAATACAGTCAAGAAGAAAAGCAAAGAGAAGACAATATAATGTTAAAAAATTGTTGCTATAACATTTTTTATGAACATCGAATTTATTAGTTACAATAGAGATCCATAACATTATTATAAAAATGTTTCCCTTGGGAAGTAACGTCTCCATCGCCACTAATCTTAATTGGAATCGACAAGATTGGAATTCACCAAGTATAGATCTAACAGCTTTCTACGGGATGCAAAGAAACAGCTTTCTGCCCTACTTATCTACGTATCATCCCTACAACAATTTTTCGATAGCATCTTATCAAAGTTACTTTCGCTTCCAGCACTACTTCAGATCGCAACTAACGGCTGATCCCTATTCCACCTTTAATTATTACAAGTGCTTGGATGCGAAGAATTTATACGCAACGCTCTTTGGTAAACATTGCATTTACTATCTCAAGTATTACATTTGTTTATATCAGGTATATGTTTATTAATAATTTATGGAATAATTCTTTTCATTCTTGTTTATTTAATCTATAATATAGACGATAAAAATCTTGATTCTTGATAAAAATCAATTTTATCTTAAGAAAGATTTGTGTGAGAAATCCTACACAATGTAATTTATTATAATATGATTTATTAAATTTTTTCCTATATTTCTATATAAAATAAAAATTTTGACTTGAATTTTTCAAACAAAAATTCTATTAAAATTTATTTTAAATTTACTTATTTGAATTTCTTAATAAAAATATATAATGTGTTTGAAACTGTTTTTGTCTTGAAGGAAAATATAACGATAAACTATAATTATTTTTACAAGCTAACATTACATACTTTTACACTTAAAATAAACAAACTATTTTTAGAAATAAATTCAAAATAAACAATTTCTGTTGAAAAATAAATCGATTAAAGAATACTCTGTTCTCTATTTTTGTTATTTATATTTTTATTACGGACAATTATTCTCAAAAATTGAGAGTTTATTGGAATCTTAATTATCATGGAAGAAGATAGATTCCAAGTTAATTAAAGAAGCTAAGAATTAAAAGAATAAATAAATAAATAAATGAAAGGAATAGTGAAAGTGACAGCATGTCTTATATAACTCTACAATATATATAGTTACATTATTACATTACTAGAAATAATTTCTCGAACATTTTTAAAAATTTGGATATCAATACAAGGGATCAATAACCTCATCACATCTCGCGATAGATAATCTTTGTTATTTTTAGCTATCATTGTTAAACTCGTTAGTGCGTCACTCATGCATCATCTGAAATCATTGATATTTGCAACCGATTGTCAGTATGATAAATAGGTGCCATAGGGCATGTCAGGTTAATATCGCTCTACGAAATGTGAATGCGAAATATAATTGCTCTATAAAAGTGATGGACGTTAGACTTTTCTCGATGATTTACAAAGATAAAGATCCGACGAATCTCGATTTGGTATTTATATGAGATAACTCGCGATATTGAAACATTACAAGTCCGCGAATGAATAATCAGCTCGACCAATGTCCACGACGATTGACTATTAATAACTCGGAAACTGCTACCTAAGTATTCGCAATCACAGAGTGGCCTTGTCAACTACATTCTTTCCTTGACCTACACGAGTAGCCATAAGTTCCCACATCCTTTTCGCGACAAGTAAAAGAACAATTCAAATAGCTATATTTTGTATCATATAGTACAAGTTTCTTCTCCATTTAAAAATATATTCTACTTTAATATAAAAGTATTTCGCATTTCCGTTCTGTTGAAGGATTTTTTTTTACCGAAATAGATCAAATTTGCAAACGTTTCGAGAGAATGTTCGCACGTGAACGAAATAATTATATTTTAAACTTTCTTTTAAATATTTTTCGACAACACTCATAATATATGAATTATATAATGATTATAAAATTACGTAATAATTGTAAAATTCAAGCTTTCTCATGTAGAATAAAACTTTATATTCTTATCTATACTTGCAGTCGCACATAGAATATTTTTTATTGGGTTAATTCCACACTGCGTGCCCTCGATACAAAATTACCCCACATTGCACGTGCCATCTCGGTTTACCTTTTCACACAGCACGGGGTACGATGCACCATTAAGAAGGCGTCGAAAGCATACGGGTGCTTTAATGGTTTTCGCTCGACCCTCTCTTCTAATACAATTACAACCTACCGATGTAATTTCCTCATTATAAAAGACACTTGCTTTTCACAATGAAGCTTATTTTGGGTAAAATCTCTTAGCAGATGTGGAAATTTAATTTTTTGGAATTATCTTGTTACATTATTATATGTATAGTTTTTAACTATTATTTTTTTCTTAAGAAAAAAAAAATATATAATATAGTTTTTCTAATATTTTTTCATTATTATAATATAAAAACTTTTATTCACAATATAAGATTTGAAAATTGCGTAGTATTTTCGGCAGATTAATATTGTTAAAATAAAAATAATAATATGTAAAGTACATATACATTGATAAAGAAATAAAATAAATAATTATTATTTCTCAATTTTTCACATTTCTTTTAAAATCTATTTCTAAAAAATTATATTTTTTTATTTGAAAAACAATATCCCACAAAAAGATATAGAAACAATCACTTCAAACTTTACTTGCTAAAACACTATGAGTGAAATAATAATATTAAGTCGTAAATAAATATCACAAAACAATAAGAGAGTATTTAAATTTATTGAAGTCGCGATACGATTGATAGAAAATTACGATATGCCTTTGAAGACCATCAAAGAACAATGCTGAAAAAAGGCCAAAATTTGCCTATAAGGGGATTGTATGAAATCGGTATATTGTGCCTTTATTTTTGAACCTGCTGAACTCGAAAATGAAGCTTAAAATTGTCCAAACACCGGAGAAAATAGTGAAAATTTTTTTACAGAAAAGCCGTGTTTTGCAGCAAATGTTTTTTAATGAACAAATGGCAATTGTAAACAAAGATAGTCTTTTTTTTAAATAATATGCAGAATGTGTTAGTTGAACGTAATCAATCTTCTAATGCAATAGCTCTTTTTTATTTTTAATCTCTGGTATATTGTTATTTTTTTATTTTTTTAATTATTTATTTATAATATACAAAAAAGATTAAAAACATTAATAAAAAAAGACATTTTTAAAAAAGATTAAAAACAAGAAAAAAAAACATTAATAAAAAAGACAAAAAAAACATTAATAAAATAAGACACTTTTCGTTTACAATTGCCACTTGTTCATTAAAAAACATTTGCTACAAAACGTGGCTTTTCTTTAAAAAAAATTGCATTTTCACAATTTTCTTTTCGGTGTTTGGACAATTTTAAGCTTCATTTTCGAGTTCAGCAGGTTCAAAAACATAAAGATATACCAATACAATTTATACAATCCCCTTACAGGCAAATTTTGGCCCTTTTTCAGCATTGTTCTTTGACGGAGAGTTTAGGGGAATTCGGGAGAGATTAACTGCCTCTCGAGATAAACATTAATCCCCTTTCACTTTCCTTCAGATAGTACATTCTTGTGATATCTCTGTATATTAATAAACTTATATTTTTTTAAATTCAAGCTAAAATCATATGAAGCAATTTGCATACATTAAAAAAATTATAATATATATATGTTATATAAAATCAGAAACATATTAAAAACTATTAGAATATTTTAAATATGTATTAACATGCTTTTAAGATTAAAAACAAGATTAAAAACATAAAGATATACCCATTTTATATAATCCCCTTACAGACAAATTTTGACCCTTTTTGCAATATCATTTTCTTTGACGGAGAGTTTAAAGGATATCGGGAATGCGAGAGATTAACTGCTTCTCGAGATAAACATTAATCCCCTTTCACTTTCCTTCAGATAATACATTCTTGTGATACCTCTGTATATTATAATAATAAAACTTATATTTTTTTAAATTCAAGCTAAAATCATATGAAGCAATTTGCATACATTAAAAAAATTATAATATATATGTTATATAAAATCAGAAATATTAAAAACTATTAGAATATTTTAAATATGTATTAACATGCTTTTAAATTTTAAATATTTAATATTTATAATATTTACACACATATATTTTAATGTAAGTTGTTTTTCACATTTATAGATGCAACCTCTCTCTGTACTTTCTCTTTAATATTCGAAATTTAAATATTAAGAACGATTATTTCCCAACTGAGATCGATCATGTGCACGCTCCGAATATTCCGTTATATCGATAAAAGATAAAATACGCTAGAATAAAGTAGATAAACAACGTGTTTATTGCACGAATATAATTTAAAGTATCCTTCGTGAAAAGAAAGCAATTATGGGCGCGGCAAACTTGAGGAGAACACGTTGGATTTATCACGTTTCGCGCAGATCGAAATCTATTATGTAGAGAAGTGCTATTTTTATGGGAGAAATCTCTATCGCATTTCGTGTATACACGATGCTGAATTATTGATATGATTAAGCAACGAGCAGTTGCTTATCAAGATCATTATAATCAAATGTAATACGTTTTAAATTTATCATTGCCGTCTATAATTTTAAAGGTAGTTCTATTACGGCTTTCCATTAAATTACTTTGTAAAAAATTGACGATCTCTAATTACTTAATTATCTTCATTATTCTTTCATTTGTAGATTGCAAATAGTAATCTACAAGTACTGTCATAAATTGCGTTATAGGATAGCATGTATTAATATTTTTTTTTTAACTACTTTTTGAAATTTTTTTCTTTACTTTTATTTTTCTCCAAAATTTCAATATATAGTTATTTTATTTTATGTATAGAAAGTAACAAACTTTTTATTATTTTCAATTTTCCGAAGAGTTGAAAGATTTATAGTACAATGTTGCATTTAAAAATATTAATCCTAAAATTCGAATGGCACGAAAAATTAAGAAAAAAAAAAATATTTTTAATGTGATTTGAATTTGCAAATATTTAAAGTATTGGTATCGCACAATTTGCTTACAAAATAATGCAATTTAACTCTAATTTCACTTGGAGCGTATTCTTTCAGATTTTTATATTCATATTGAACAGAATCGGCGCGAGTAACAATCGTACATTCCATCCTCGAGCGTATCCGAGAGAGTAAAGAAAAAAAAAACCGTCCCACGGTTGCAGACTCTTTGCACGCACAGTCCAAATATAAATGTAAAACCAACGCCTTATTTCTCAGACTCCCCGGTATCCCTCGGATCAGCAGGCTCGCCGCAGGGGAACCAGCCGGCGGACGCACCTTCACCCATAAACTTTCCTGCTCCAGGGGAGAGCATGGCCGACACCTCGACCCTGTCGCCGGAGGCAAACATGCCGGGCTCGCCGGGCTGCCCCGTGGTCAGAGTGACGAGCGAGTACCTGCTGGGCAGTCCGAGTCCAGGGACGCCGAGAGACTCTCTTCGTGGGTCCGGTGGAGGCGGCAGCGGCGGCGGCGGCGATGGCGGAAGCGGAAGAGGAAGCGGACAGGAGGGTCGCGACGCGACGTGCTCGGACCGCGCGTCGCCCGACTCGGTCTTCCCGGATGCCGGTCCGATGGTGAGTTTCAGGGTCGCCGACGAACAGCAGCAGCATCACCAGCAATCGCAGCAGCAGCACCAGCAGCAACGCTCCGCTACCCCCGCGCCTACCAGATCGTCGTCCTACTCGCCGGTCCAGGCGGTCTCGTCGACCCCGATTGCCCAGGAGGCCTCCTCGAGGAGCGACAGCCCGGACAAGGGCGACTTGTCGTCCGTCCAGACCAAGGAAGAATCCGACAACTCGGTCTTCGACGGAGGCGGAGGTGGTAGTGGCGGCGGGGGCGGTCGCTCGGAAGCTTCCAGTCAGGCAAGTCACCGGAATAGTCCATCGTCTCAATTCAATCCCAATCAGAGTATCAGTCCCGGAACGATCGGGTCCGCTGGACCGCACGGATCCGCGCAACAGCAGCAGCAGCAGCAGCAATCACCGCAGACTCCGCCGACGCCGCCGAGGCCGCGCGCGCCCTCGGTACCGCCGCACCTGCTGGCGGCTCATCATCAGTTTTGGTCACAAAACACCACCGGCGTACAGGGATTCGCCACGCAGAGGCTACTCAACGGTGTCATCAGCAGTGCCGTGAGCTACGGACAAAACGCTACTACCGTCTCCACCAACTCCGGCGGCGGTACCAGCACCAGCTGTGCCACTACTACAGCGACTTCGTGTAAGCACTATGGCTAATATATTTATTATTTATATTTTTCATCAAGTCACCTTAAGAATCTTCTTTCTTTGATTAATTGGTTATTCAAATTCAAACCCCCTGACAAATAATTGAAAACTGTTACGTCATAGTATCATTTATAAAAAGCACGTAAAAAATAATGGTGGAAATTTTAAAAAATTCCGAACATTAATCATTCATAAGAAACCTATGTTATTTATGGTTTTTCAAGGGTGTCAATTTTAAACATAATAAATCAATAAATTTCCTAGGAAAAAAGATTTAAATCGCGTAAAATCCGTGAAATCGAACATATTTAAAGTATTACAATACTTTCATAATAATCCGAACGCGAGTGAAAATCTGAGAAAACGCGATCGATGATCTATTTTAGGCGAAGGAATGAAACCACCGGCGCAGAGAGCAGCGCCAGCACCACCGCGACCCCCGCCCACGGTTTTAATGGGCGAAATCGGCGGTGTCCGTACGATGATATGGTCGGCGCCCCCGTGCGACCCGGTACCGCCGCCGGCGGCATCCTGGACGGCCACAGCGGCAGCGGTCGCCTCGTGTTCCTCGTCGGAAGAGTCGGCCGCCCACCTGCTGCTGAATCTCGGCCAGGAGTCCCGGGGTAAACCACCTTCCTCCACCTCCACCGCGGTGTCGTACTCGTCCGCCGCCGCCGGGCCACCTCTTAACATGGAGAGGCTATGGGCCGGCGATTTGACGCAACTACCGGCCGCGCAACAGATGCAGGCGTTGAATCTCACGGCTTCCGGTTCCGCCACCCAGCCGTGGGTGAGCAACGGTGGCACGATCGTAAAATCCGAAGCAGCCTCGCAATCCATATCATTTGCGCCCCCGGCGCCCCCCTTACCGCCCCAGGAACACGAAGAGGACGAGACGCCCATGATATGCATGATCTGCGAGGACAAGGCGACCGGCCTGCACTACGGTATCATCACGTGCGAGGGGTGAGTATCGTTCGCTACATGCGCGTGTTTATGAGATCAAATATCGTTAATTTTATCCCGCGATACGCGAATCAATGCACGATATAAACGTTCGTACATTCCGTTGCACATCTTGGTGCATTAGTTATATTCGAAATTTTTTTTTACAAAATTTATTTATTTATATTCGAAATTAATTTTATAAAATTTTATTTTTATTATATAATTCTTCTTTCTTATTATACGCGAAATTATAATCTTATTATACTTTTTTATCGCAGGTGTTGAATTCGAGATTAATAATTTTGTGTAATTTTGAATTTATATACAAACATTTTTAAAAGTATTAAACTAACTAGTTACATTTCGCGAATTTTATATTGGCAACTACTAGCATTACACATATTTATAATTTTGATATTTCACATATTGAATATAATATATTGAATATATGATGAATACAAAATGATTCGAATTTATTTAATCTTATAGCTAATCAAAAATTAAAATAAAATTAGAATAAAAATTAAAATAAAATAAAAATATCTTATTTCCTTCAATATAATTGAGTTTAACGATTAATAATATTTAATAAATTTCAAAATTCTTCACAAATTATAGTCATTTTTTCTGAAATGTGTTTCTGTCGTATATAATAAAAATTTGCGTAATATTTTGTAATTATTTACTAATAAAAAACTTACGTGAATTAAAAAAATAATAGTAATAAATCTATGACAAACACTTTATTCGCAATAAATTCACCCTCCCAACATTCCCGTGCATTCAAATTGCACTAATAATATAAGTTAATTAAAATTCGAATTTATATGTATTTATCTGATAAACGAGCCTTTTGGATAGTGAATTGCAGTTGAAGAATCGACTGATTCGTTCTAATTATATTTAATTATATTGAAACTACCTATGATATGGTGCATAGTCGAAATCGTGTGGTTGATTGATCACAAACACGTGTAACCTGCTGCGACCTTCGACCTTTCCTAACATTCATCAAATGCATCTAATTGCACTTTACAAACAAGAAATGTCAAGTTTTGAGTAAACTAATCTCAGAACAGATACTATCAGTTTATTTGTATAGAAAGTTTATACATGACAGACATAGCATAATTTATCATTATTATTTAATATTTTTTAATAATTTGATCTCGCTCGTTATATCACTTTTGAAGAGAATACACGTTTAAAAGCATTTTTCATTGAAAAGAAATCCTATATATAAACTAAATGATCTCTTATATAGTACGAGATATATATATTTGATAAATAAAGCATTTGATTTATAATATCGATATTTCGAAGCTAATTCTTCGTAAAGTAAATAAAACAGAATATTAAAATCAATGCTTATTTTTTTAATGTGCTTCAATTTAACTGTGCTTTAATTTTTAATAAATTAAAGAAATATTCTAAAATTAATATTCTATGTCTTATTAATATCAGAAAAAATTTTTTTAAAGTTCTTCATAATCAAAAAAATTCACTCTACATTTTCTCATATTCGATATATCGATATTATTTTATTATTTTACACTCTACAAGTATTAGCGTCGATCAAACTTTCTAATTGATTATTTTTTTATTTTTTTAAAAGATTTAAAGTTTATGTAACTTTATTGTATATATCAATTATATTATAATTAAAGAAAATATTCTCGTAGATTTAAAATTTTATATTCTAAATTTTTTATTTCTTATATATTTAGTTTAAATTTTTATCAATAATAATTATTTGCATCCATATTATTTTTATATAAAAAAATATTTTCTCAAAATATATTAATTCTTGTGCACGAATATTTCATATAATATACATATACATAAATAAGATTAAATATTAACTGATAATCCTATAATGCTTCCTTCTTTTTCACAGCACATTTTAACACAAGATGCGAAGGATACTTGTTGCATTTACTCTGGCTATACCCCAAAGACTTCTCTTTCTCTCTCCTTCTCTTTTGAATAATACTTTGATCAGTCCATGAAATTACCACCGGGTATCGTTACTTTCTCGCCTGTCCTTCTCTAACTTTATTGTCTCGAGCGTAGCAGTGGATTAGACGAGAAAAGTCTGCGTAAAGTTTTTCCCTCGCACCAACAATAAATACTCGTAACTTGACGTAAATGAATCCTTGATTTAACCTCGCCATTTTTGCCGCGTGTGAAAATGTTTCTTCAAATAAACAATCTTATCCGTAATACGATCTATTCTACTTAAAATCGAAAAATCATAAGCACAAATTTTCTCAATGGAATTTAAAAACAGATTTTTATAAATGGAAAGTGCAAAGCAAATCATTTTCCTATTTACTAGATTTTTTAAACATCGATTAAAATTTTCTAATCGGTTATTTTTTGTTTTTACAAAAAGATTTAAAATTTGTATATAATTTTATTGTGTAAATTATATTTCCCTACATTTCTACTGATATAGAAAGATCATTTAATTCTTCTTAATCGAATGTTACAACTAGAAGTAAATTTTACAGTTAAATGATTAAATATTTATTCGAATGTACTTTGTAACTTATCAATATATCGATTATATTAATTGAATAATTATTTAATAAATAACTTTTTGATATACATGACAACATGTATGTGTCTGTTTTAATTCTATTCGACAATAAGCTTACATATTTAAACACATAAATTGTGCATAATATATATAAAATAAAATATATCCTATTGTTTAAAAAAGATGATCTAAAGCTTAAGTCAAGGAATATGAATTATTTTTTATCGATAACTTTTATGCCTAATGATGCAAATAATGCAATGTAATCAGTGTAAGATAATAAATTTATCAAATATAAATTATCGAATATTTTTTATCTGATTTTGTTGGATTTTGAAAGATATCGAATAGTATTTCGTAAAAGCTATGAAATAAATCTCTGTTACTTTTCATGTGATAATTTTAAATATGATCTAGTCTAGAAATTTAACTGTTCTTTAAATACTTCAGAGAAAATAATCTTTAAGGAATTTTTATATATTTATATTAATTGAAAGAGAAAGAGAAAGCTGAGAGAAAGAGAATGTGCAACGTTGAAGAAAGAATATTTTTGTCACTCTCTTTATATCAATTAAATTTCATATTACATTCCGGAGAAAATACGAAGATAATTTAAAAAAGAATTCAAGGATATTCAATGTTACCTGTAGACATTTCGGCAGACGCTTTCAGCAGCAGTCCCTCTCAATTAAGCCATTCCTTCGACGCTCCCTGATACTTGTCGATGACACCACATATCGATGCACTCGATTACACTTGCGGATAATACGTCACTCATGTCCATGCGGAACAATACCGATTTCGAGTATCAACAAACGCGCATGTAATCGCGAGCGAGCCGATTACTTGACACACAGCTGATCGCTCCGACACTCCTGTCACTCGATCGCACTCACGAAAATCCGTACATGTATATTCGTAAAACTCCTTCGAAGGGTACAACGATTTTCATCAGGGACGATCAATATCGATCACACGCGTTCACTAGCGCCATCTGGTAGGATAATTGAAAACAATCGTACTGCAAATTTATTCGCGCACTTTTGGCGCGCAATCATTTTGAACTGGCGTTAAAATTCCGAGAAGACGCCATCGTCAATCTCGATGGACTCGAATATTGTAAACGAACGGATCGATTGATCTGTCTCGATCATCCCGATTTCCCGAGTTCCCGATATGTTCCTCTGATAATCCGGATAATGATGTCGACTGAATAACACTCGCGATGCTCGTCGAATGAGACAAAGTGCACACGAACTGGATTCTTCCGGATGGTGGATCACTCGGACCGATCGAAACGATCGCGAATATATCGCTTGAACACGTCGATCGTCGATCAAATTGACACGTAAACAATCGCTCGTCATCAGACACGACACTCCCGATACTCTTTGTACGCGAAATCCGGTTGAAAAGGGCGAGAAGACGCGGAAATAAGGAGTAGCGACAGACCCGACTGTCCACCGGCGCCCCGCGACACAAACTATTACCTATTTAACAAAATTTGGTCAAGCCACTTCTCGCGGCTTACTTCGCGCGTTTACGCGATATGGAAAAAACTTCCTAGGGACGTTTAAGGTGCATACTAAATACTTGACGTTCATTTTCAATGTCAAAAAATGTCATGCAATGAAAAATGATTTATCATCGTTGAATTAATTTGTATTTTTAACCACGTGATGTCCGTTGTCGATATTAAACATCGAGCATTAATATGAAGAAGCATTTTTATTTATCAAAGAAGTCAAAGAATTAGCGGCCACTAGATGCGTTATCGTCTATAGTTATTGTGTATTTTATGGTTAATATTGAAAATTGATTCTAGAAAAGTAAGAAAGGGGGCGCATTTAAAATTTATCGTATAAAGACCCTTTCTATTATGTGCTTGTTATGTGCTTGTTATACGCTCCTATTATGTACTTATTCTTGTTCGGATTTATTTTTTTAATTTATCGAAAGTATTTTAAATTATTATAAATCTCAGCGAACATTCTCAACTCGGTAAGAATTATCTCTTTTTATCCATTTATTTATGATTATATAAGTAGGCTCATCAATAATTCAAAGAAAACAAACAATTAGTATACTTAATGTGCATTAATGCATTTAATCGGTTTTTTTATTAATAAGAATGCACTACAAAAAATAACTTAATTACGTATATATTGAAGAGTTGAATTATTTGATTTTTTGCTCGATGTTTGTCTTAAAACACGCAGAAAACTTTTATAACTTTAATATAAAAGTCAATAAAAATTTAAATGTAACATTTCTTAAAAATATTATTTCCTTTTATAATTTTTTTTTTACTTGACATAATTTCACATTTTTGATAAATAAAAAATATTTCTTTTTCGATGCAATTTCTTATCTTATCTTTAATCTATTATTATATTTAATTTTCATAGTTTTTCTCCCGCGTTATATATATATATATATCTTACAAAAAATTAAATATTTTTTTTAATTAAATTAAAACATATATTAAACATTGTGAATATAATTTTAATATACAAATTATATTTTTTTATAGATGGAATATTTTCAGCAATAAGAAAATAATTATTATTTATTAAGTTTCATAAGTTTCATCTGTTCTATGTATTAAATAATTCATATTTTTATTATTTTATAAGAAGAATTTTCTTCAACTGTAGACCCATAAATTAATTGATTGAATGTTATAAATATATATAGATAGATAATGCAGAATATATACATAGATAAAATTAATAAATTTAATTAATTTAATAAAATGAAATAAATTAATATTAATAATAATTAATTAATTAATTTAATTTAATTGTCACAGATGCAAAGGCTTTTTCAAGAGAACGGTACAAAATAGGCGAGTTTATACGTGTGTAGCAGAAGGTGGCTGCGAAATCACGAAAGCGCAGAGAAACAGATGTCAATACTGCCGATTTAAAAAGTGCATTGAACAGGGTATGGTTCTGCAAGCGGTTCGAGAAGACCGGATGCCTGGAGGAAGGAATTCTGGTGCAGTGTACAATCTTTACAAGGTATGCACTGAGCTAAGATTATAATAATAAAAAATGTTATTGCTTAAACTACTTAAAAATTTCTGTTTTTATATGTCCTGTATAAACAATGTTATATTCGTAAATTTTCTTTAGATAAAAAAATGTCGATTATTATTTTTTAGGATTGTTAATTTTTTCAATATAAGATTAATATTTTGTTGACATTTTTCTTTCCAAATGCAAATATAACGGAAAATGATTAATACGAGTAAAATGAAAATTTTATCCACTTATGTTATTTTTTCCGATTTACCTTTAATTAAAATGTACTAAATTATTTTCCTGTTGTATTATTATTTTATGCTGTAAAATTTAATGACTATATTAAATTGCCCGTAAATATAATTAAAATCATTCAGAAAAATATTTATCTTTAACTGGATAAATTTACGAATTTTCTTTTGTCAAATATTTTTGTAGAAAAATAATTGTAGAATCTCTCATCTTACTTTTGTAATATTATTATATATTTATCCACATATCCAATATACTTATCAATAATAATTGAGATAAAAAATTTAAATAATTAAAATAATTAATATAATTCTCACATTGAAATGTATATACATATATGTGCTCCTTAGATTTTAAGTTCTCATTTAATTAAAAATTTTCCATCCTGATATTCTATTTAAAAAAATGATACTCGAATATATATCCGCATAAACTTACTCGTAATTATTCATTAAAGTGATCAAACTGGAAATAGCAGAGTCAAGCAAACTCTTTATGTGACTTAAAAAACATAAATTGATCAATAATCATCGCAATATAATTGATGCAAATCGATCATTAAGTTACCTGTTGCTCGTAGGTGAAATACAAAAAGCACAAGAAGAGCAACAAAGGGGGTGGCAGCATGAGTGGCGGTAGTAATGTCGGTGGTGTAAACGGCTCGGGATCCCTCGGCGGCACCAAGAGCGCCATAGGTACGACGATGTTAGACAAGCACATGGCCGCGGCAGCAGCCGCTCATCACAGCCAGCAGCAGCAGCAGCAGCATGCTCAGCTGGCCGGTAGTTTTCTTCATCATCACAAAATCTCGTCAGGCGATCCACTCAGTTCGCCACCCACCCCAAGTCACCCGAGCCACCCCGCGCACTCGGGCCACCTCGTCAACGGGACAATCCTGAAGACGGCACTCACCAATCCTTCCGAAGTGAGTATTCTTCAGCTTTATCGTTCAAAGTTAACGGATTTTAAAGTTTATTAAATTGTATTGTTAATATATATAAACCATTTTCAATGATAATGAATCAGCAGAATCAGAAGAAAGATTATTTATATGAATCATATGACGAATATATAATTGATTTTTCTATTATATTTCATAGAAAAATTCTTCATTAAAGATTTCATAGAAAATTTTTTTAATATTTAACATTAAATATTTATTAAAAAATTTTTAAACTCAAAATGCTTGAAGAAAATGAGAGATTCATTGGCTTTAAATATAATAAAACTTTGTTGTTTGTAAGATTTTGTCGGTTTTAAAATCTTATTTGAAATCTTATTTGATTGACACGTCGACAGTTTAACAAAGAAAACGATTGATTAAAGAATCTGTTATTAGAATTAGAGCCTTCAATGTTCTCCACGATTTCACACAGAATTTCTAAGCATTTCCCATGATATATCTAAACAAAAATTCATCTAACACATTCATTCCGAATGATTTATCGCTGATAATCACGAGGTTGAATCGTGCGAATTCGTTTTCAGAGGGAAAGATCGCACGATTCGCCTGCTTCCGCGTGTCTCGCGAAACAGAGTCGCGTGTCAGCGAATTAATTTCATTGCGACATGGTGTGCATCGCGTGTCATAACTTTTACCTATTTCTCCTAATTATTCGAGCATTACGCAAGACATATTCATCGTCAGCGACGTAATGCAGATTAATCTCAGCCGCCAGAAATATAGCACTCATTATCAGTGATGTGCGTGAATACATGTGAAAACTTTCTAAAAATTGTTCCGATCGTATGATTATCCGATTTGAAAGTTTGCTATTAATTCGTGAGGGGAACGAGGAGTTTTTACGTTGTCTTTTCTTGTTTGCACGATAGATCAACATTCGCGCGGCTCCGATCGAAGCATCGCGCTTGCTTGCCGTCGTAATTTACGTGATTTATATGGCATAGCTCTAGTTAGAAATCGAGCATGGGGTCAACAAAAGTCGGCTGCCAACAGGGGAATCCGGAATACTTTAAGATGAGAATGTCCCGCAGGCACATTCGCTTTCACTTTCGAAACAGCTGCGATGCAAGATCGCTCGAAAATCTTTATCGCGATGATGATCTTTCACGCTTCATTTTTAGTCTAATAATGTCTTAAGTTTTCCTCTATTCTCAATTATCCTTTTTGATTAATTTCATTTTTCTTTTATAATTTTTGAAAATATTTAGCATTAAAAAATTATTTTCGTTAACTGTGTTTTAAACCTGTATTAAGATAAAGTCTGTATAAAATTAAATTAAAAATGATTTCTTTATTTATCTATTTGGCTATATTTTTCTTTGTCTATTTGCAAAATTGTTTATAAGGGAATTTCGCGAATCCGGAAATTTTAATTGTGATGAGACTCCAGGAATACTCTGTTCTCATAGATTAAACCCTTATATGATCGAGGAATGCGTTATACACGTTCGATTGATACTTGCAATCTCCGTTCGGTATCGATATCCCTTAGAAAAATACAGATCGAATCATTTCGATGAAGTCAGAATTGCATCATCGATATCTACGAATATTACTATGACGGCAAAGAACCTGTTACAATTGCATAGGGCATAAAATTACATCAATCATCGCGGAGCGTGCCGCACTTCGTTCACATAGTGCACTTTGGGAAACGATATAATGATATATTGTACGCAGTACTTGCCAATTAAATGATTACGAACTCACTGGTCTTACACTTAGTAACGAACCAGAAAATATGTAGTTAACGTTACAGATAAATCACCGATAAATTGTAGGTTGAATAGATTGTAGTTTTTAAAGAAGAAAGAGAAATATATATATATATATATGTTGTTATACTACCGAGAGAAAGATAACTTTGATCAAATCGGATACTTATTTATGTCTAAAACCATATAATTTATATATAACTCTGAAGCAAAAATATCTAATATAATAAAGATCCAATAGAAATTATGCATTTATTTTTTAAAAATATAATTGCATATATTTAATTTATATATAATCGCAGACTAAAATATATAAAAATTCAACAATCGTTTTAGTATTCGAAGTCATTTTTTATACAAACACTTCAACACATATGTACATACTATGTATGAAGAATTTGGGATATCTTAATGCGATTGTCAAATAATAGAGGAATTATGGTGACAAATAGTAAATTCGGCTTGTGTGTCGATCGGTTTCTCTCACACCGATTCTGGAATGAATGAACTCCCTGTCACAATTTCACTTTCTTGCAACTCAGTTTGCGCAAGTCTCAAGGTTTCCCACATTACGAAAGTTAATAGATAGAACGAAAAATGGCTGATTGTCGTTGATGTCATTGTATCACACAATTTTATTTGTGATCTATTTGTCTGCATTTCTGTACATAATACGAAATGTTTGTAAATCTTGCAATTATGTATGTATTTTTGCAGAATATTATTTCTTCGTGTGTTCTATATTATATTAATTTTAAACAAATAACACATAAACGAAAACTAAAAATATTCAATAATAAAAAATCATTAGCATTATATGAAAATTAGATTAATAAAAGTGTACGAGAAAAATGTTCAGGAAACAAAATTTTATTAACAGGATTAAATAATTTTTTCATGTTGTGATTGACATGTCAGGATTGTATATATTCAATGATTCGCATCCCGGTTTTCTCAAGTGGAACGATCGAAAATAATTGAAAAATTATGCGTATATTATGTCCGATCAGATGAGCAAACGAAGATACTGCCGTGATCGCTCAAATGGCCCGGTAGAGGCCATTGCCAAAAGTGAAACCGATGCCATCAAAATTGGATAAATGTTGACTGTTACGGTGCTCCATTAAAAAGAGGTCACTTTCGAGCCGCGATCGAATCATCATATGTGAGATGCACAACGAGACAACCACATACATCTTCGAAGTGGGAATTTCGTGAAAGATAAAAAATCGACACAATTTTGTTGAGAAGAGAGACATAATATATTTGACTTTTTTTAGCCATGAAAATAACATGGAAATAAATTATTCGATCAGTCAAATTTAATGCATATCATAGAGAGATTGATATTTATATCTTTAATATTTTAAAAACAAATTCTGTAAAAAAAATTCTTTATAAGATTTGTTCTTATTTATATGAATTTGCATATAAAAATATTTTATATAAATCTGTTTTTTAGGCATAATTATTTTTTTATATTTGATTATTAAATTATCCCTTTTAGAATTAATTATTTTAATATTTGAATATAATTTTTTATATAAACTCTTGTTATTGTATATCATACATATTATATATAATAAAGATATAACTATAAATATATATCAATTAATATACAAAAAACATTAATTAAAAAAAATTTATATCAATGATACTTGAATGTTAAATATATCTATTTAACAGAAATACATATGAGTAATCTTTTCATAATTATATATGATTACGAGATATGTAATGAAATTTATACAATATTTTATTCGTTGAGAATGAAATGCATACAATGATAGTAAAATTGACCAACACATATCTTTACTATTGAGCATCTTACATGTCAATGCTTACCTATATGTCACAAATGCTATATCTCAAAAACTTTTCCATATAATTGAATGCGAAAGAATATACTTAATATTTTTTTCATAGATACTTTACAATTTTGCTAATTAAATCAATCATAAACAGATAGAATTATAATTTAAGCACAGCTTATTCCTGCACAATTGCTATACATAGTGCAAGTACATCAATAAGCTACAGTTGCAGCGAACATCATTACCAGATACTAACAGCATCAGATAGATCCTTCATTATAACGCGTGAAATATCATTATTACACATCAAACGTCGTTCGTCATCGTCGCTGCGAACGATACATCGGCGACGAAGGCAGGGACAATAGAAAATCAGCGGCAGCCGGTGCCAAGGACGGGCAGTTCTCCGGCGGTTTCGTAACTCGTGAAAGTTTGCACGGAGGACAGTGACCTCACCCTTCCTTCGTCTCTCGCGCTTCCTTTCCTTCAGCACCTCCTGGATATCTCCTCCCTCGTCTCCCCCGCATCACCTCTTTGTTTGTTCCTCATATTGAATCTTCAACTACGAATGCATCCCACGATGGTCGTTTATGCATGGATCTTCAAGATATCCGACAAAGCGACCAGCTTTCCCCGAAGTCAACTGAGTTGGTGGGACCTCTCTCTTTCTCTTTATCTCATTCTCGTGCACTCCGCGCCCGACCCCGAGGAAGTGTTTCGGGGTCCGAAAGGTCAGTGAAAGGCAGAGCTTTATATCGACTGGATTAACATGCGCGGCCGCCGAACTCGAATTGTGATGAGAAGAATGCCTTAGGAATCGTAATTATCATTTGAACCTGCTCGATATAATTTTCGTTAAAAATCTTCAAGGTCACATAGATGCAACTGAAAGCCTCTGGTGTCATATAATGATATGATTATCTAATAAATATTAAAAATAATGAGCTACACTGATATATAAAATATCTGAAAATTATATAATATATAGAATATTTAATGATTATTTATTTTAATCAATAATTTAGATAAAAATTGAAAAACGTATAAAAGAATATTCTAGGAAGCAGCAATTTTTTGTATGTCTTTTATGTATTAACGATATTATGTGTGTTTAAGGTGGTGCATTTACGGCAAAGGCTAGACAATGCGGTAAGCAGTTCGAGGGATCGAGTCTTTCCTCTGGATGCAACCCTAACTATGATCCAAACCCTTATAGACTGCGATGAGTTCCAAGATATCGCTACATTGAGAGTATGAACATTATTACTTTCTTTTACACTAAAAAAAAAAATATATATATATATATATAATCTTTTAATTCTAAAAAGACAATTATAAATATTAATAAATATTAATATAAATTATATAACTATGTATAAATATTAATATAAATTTTCCTACAACAGAATATTTTTCGTACATACATATATAATTTGCAAATATAATTAATAATAAATGCTATGAATTAATTCAATCTATTTCTTTAAAATAGCATCTAATAAGAATAATTTATTTTTTAAGCTGATCTTTTATTGAAATAGTGTTTAATAAAAAAATAAAAGTGTGCAAAATATTATGATTAAACCTCAAAGGAAACGTGCTCCAAAACTATACATAAACATCTTCTGTTATAGAACTTGGACGAGCTGCTGGACCATAATTCAGATTTAAGTGAGAAGCTGTGTCAGATAGGAGACAGCATAGTGTACAAGTTGGTGCAGTGGACCAAAAGGTTACCGTTTTACCTTGAGCTGCCGGTCGAAGTTCATACAAGGTTGCTCACCCATAAGTGGCATGAACTTCTTGTGCTGACCACTTCTGCTTACCAAGCGATGCACGGTCAGCATGGGTTAACTAATGTCGGTTCTGATGGGACGGGCGCAGATTTTATGCAAGAAGTAATTATTTTTTGCAATAATTTACATGCATTATAAGCATAATTATAAATATTTTTATGTTATAAAACACATATTTTGTAAAAGTTATAATAATAATATATCTTATATATATATATATATATATATATATATATATATATATATAATTTTAAATTTTATATATCTTATAATAATAATTTTTTAAATATATATTTTATATATTTTATATTTCTTTTACATATAGGCATTTGCAAAAAACTTTTTTTACATGTATTTAGACTTTCAATTTAATTTTTAATAAAAATTTTATAAAAGAATCTCAACCATTTATACAACAATATTAAATTTTATTAAGTAGAGTTTAATACAATATAATATAATATTTCGACGATTAAAACCTCCTAAATACTGTAGATTTTTTCGTTTAATCGATAAATCATTTGTAATAGTATTTTTAATTCATTAATCAAAGCTTCAATTTTACATATATTATTATATTGTTAACAAGACACAAATATATATTTTTATTTGGAAAATAAACGAGGAATATATTCAAATTCGATTGTAATCGATTTTTCACAATCAGGTAACGAACAACATGTATACGTTGCAAACGTGCCTAACTAGCATGATGGGTCGGCCGATAACCATGGACCAATTGCGGCAAGACGTAGGGCTCATGGTAGAAAAAATCACGTACGTCACGCTAATGTTCAGGCGGGTGAGGCTACGGATGGAGGAATATGTCTGTCTAAAAGTAATCACTATGCTCTCACAAGGTAGATATTTTCATTGACACATTAGTTTCTATCGGTTGTTATCGTTTAACTTTCTCGATTATGTAATATAAAAATGATATATAATAATATAAATGTACTTTCTTTCCGATGCTACAATTGGAGATGCGAAATGTAAGTTTAAAATATTCTCTTAAAGCGCCTCCATATACGCATGCATAGAATGTATAATTTTTTTTTAGAAAAAAATTCAAAAATTTTAGACTTTTTTAACTAATAAAAGTCAAAAGTTTAGATGTACATATATAATTGTTTTCAAAATAAATTGCTGTTCAATATATATAATCTAATTAATTAATAAAAAAAATAAACAGTCAAAATAAAACAATAACATTTATAATAATTTAATGTTTTCATTTTTTTCAAATATTTCGGACACACAAAATTTTGCATGTTTTATCTAATCTCGTTTGTTTTCCTTAGCACGAGGAGGTACACTGGAATTAGAACAGATACAAGAACGATACATGAGCTGTCTGCGAAGTTTTGTTGAGCACAGCGCACCCCAGCAGCCAAGTCGATTTCATGATCTTCTCGTTAGGTTGCCTGAAGTAAGTCCAAAACAAAGTATGTTAAATGTAGCGACAATTTAATTAAAACCATTTTTGAATTAAAATTAAATAAATTAATCAAATATTGTTTGTTGTACAAGAATTTAAATAAAAATTAAATGATAAGATTGAATTTAACTTAAATTATTGAACATTTAATTGAATCTAAAAATATTTATTATTTAAGATTATTTAAGATAAATTATGATAATTCTGATTTGAATTGTCTTTATGCACAGAATTTATGTAATAATATCGTAAAATATTCTATTAATTTCTATTAAGTAAAATCCATCTGTTTACTAAATTACAGGTACAATCGGCGGCGGCTTTACTACTCGAGAGTAAAATGTTTTACGTTCCTTTCCTATTGAACTCAGCAATTCAAAGATAGTAAATAAACAAAATGACGCTAAACGAAGCTGAATACCTATATACATACTATACATATGTAATAAATATATACACACAAAAAAGCAAAAGAACCGAACAAACAGACAACCAGCAACAAACGAATAGAAAAACAGAAAGAAAAAAGCCCAACGAGAATAAGAAGACTCGAATCGAATGGGGAAAAGCTTTGTTTGTGTATGTATAATAAATATATATAAAAGTATATAATATACATATAAATAATATAAATGTGTGTGTTCGTTGCGTTGTACAAACGAAGGAGGGTGAATAAGGAAGAGAAATCGTTCAAACGAAATGGAACGAAAAGAACAGTGGACGATAGAAAGTAATTACGTCGGGAACGAAAAAGAGAAGGAGGATTTAAATAAAATATTAAAGAAAGAATATATAAGAGTTAGAGAGAAAGAGAGAGAGCGAGAGAGGGAGAGAAAGGGAGAGAGAGAAAGAAAGCGCGCCACCTCGAGATGGGTAAATCAATCGAGGAGGGAACTGAACTTTTTTATCGAAACTAAAAGACTATAATATAATATATTTCTGTACGCAAACACGTACCGCGCAACTACGTCATTGTGTGTTCACATTGCATAATCTGATCGATAAAATAAGACTCTCGTTACGTACCGCTCACCGTAGGCCACCTACTATCATTACTATTACTATTGCTACTATTACCGCCACTTTCTACTACTACCGCTCTCAAAGCTAAAAGAAAAAAAACAGCAGCAGATACCACGAAATGACTGAATGAAGGATCAATAGTTTGGATCGATCGACTGGCCGATGACGACGCCTTATTGTCATTTCAGCTCGACGTGGAATCATCGAGCTACAAACATATTAACACACATTTACATACATATACACACACACATACATATTTTTTAAATACCTCGCCACGACGTATCGATGTGATCTTCTCCTCGCAACTATCGCCATCAACGTACGTAAAGGATGTAATGCTGCAATTACTTTCTTCTCCCGTTATCATTGCACCTGCATCTTCGACAGGAATACGTTATAAGTCTTCAGAATATGGATCACGTAATTCTATCCATCGGAAGAAAGATAACAACAGTGTAACTTTTCACATTCATCGAAAATGGAATTGTTTTTGGCGCAAACTATAGCTGTATATCTAAAAACCAAGAGCGAAAAGTGGAAAGATTCACTGATTAATATGCAGATAACGTGATCACGAGAGGAAAAGCCACAAAAAACGAAACTATACGTAAAAACTTCGTATAAACTCGATGTTTCACGTTCACCACACATGCATCCGGATGCGAGTATTTATTATGTATGTATTCCACAATCGAATCAACATCGAGTCATCATCATCGTCGTTGTCGTCGTCGTCGTTGTCGTCGTCGTCGCCATTTAACACTCCGAAGCATGGTCCAAGCGCGCAACGCAAAAGACTCTCTTTACTCTTCTATAGTATTGGTTCGTTCATTTTTTATGCAACTTTTACACGCGCATTAATCATTAATCTTAGAGTTTTCCGCTTGCGTCGCGCGTTCTTCGGACGATCTCCGATCTTCCATTTGTAATTTTTAAAGGCCGTTTGCGCTAACTTTCTACTTGTATTATCACTTGTAAGGTAAAGTGATTCTTATGATTGAAGTTCGAGTCTTTTAATTAAGATTTATAGAAATAATTTGTAAATTAAATTTTGAATATTGGCTGACTAGAGTATTACTAGTAAATAAGGATATAATTAAAAGAAACAAAAACATGTTAATTATCGTTATTGAATTAGAAAAAGATTTATAAAGAAAATTTGTTATTTTTTGGATATTACATTTGATTATAATAATTAATATAAAAGTGGAGTTTTTAAATTATTTAGTTAAATTTTCTAGTCGATTTTATTTAGTAATTTTATATTTTTTTATTTATGAATATTTTGATACTTCTGATGAAAATATTTTATGGACAGTATAATGTAATCATATTGAAACACAGTACTGAATCACATTCAATTGATTTCAATATTATTTCAAGGATTTTATTTACTTGTTTTTTCATTACTTTATTAAAATTACAATAAAAATTTAGAAAAGTTCATTAAAAGTTAATTTTATTAATTAAATATAAATGAAATTGTATTTATTGAAAGTAAATTTCGTGAAAACTTGTATAGCACAAAAAGATTGCAAACACTTAGAACAATGTAATGAAATAAATAATTTAATTTAAATGATTTAATTTATAAAATTTAAAATTTTACTTATGTACAAATTAAATTCTACTTTCTTAAGTAGTATCTTAAGTAAATAATGATTTTCATTTATTTGAATATTTATCTGATTTCTAAACAATCAGTTCAATATTTACTCGAATAATATATTACATAATATATAATATTTAATTATATTTTATTGTAAAAATCCTGTTCTCTACAAGTGAATCAGTGAAAATATCACTAATTAAACAGTAAAATAAGATTTCACTGAGAATCAGTGCGTGTTTTACTGATTTTCAGTGGAAACGCTTATTTTTTTGTTATTTTATCTTATATCTCATTGATTATGATCAGTTAAAATAAAATTCACTATAAAACCAGTAAATTTCGCTGTAAAACCAGTAATTGCTAGTATTCGTTCGTTTACCGCTACGCTGTAATCAGTGATTATTTACTGTTTTTCAGAGATAATACACTGATTCACTTTCAGAGAGTGATTTATATTGCAATAGATTTAACAATTATCAATCTTTTTCATGCATTTTAAATAAATTTCAACAAAATATTTTCATCAGAAATATAAATTTGCCTTAATATAACATAATAAGCAGAATTAATATTAAGAATATTACACAAGAATATAATCATGTACACATAATACTTTTGCAAAAGAGAGAAAATTTTTAAATAGTAAGATGTATGAGATAAAATTTTTATTTAAATTCGATATAATTTTCTATATTTAAACTATTTCGATAATTTTTTATTTGAGAGATATTTTATTTATATATTCTGAATGGATAAGTTTTCTACTTTCTAACTTTTGCACGGTAAATGGAATACATGGCATATATGGCATTTTTCCTTTGCATTTCCAGTTTTACTAGATTACTACAAAAGTGTTAAAAATGGAGACTTGAATCGTTCGCAGCACGCGCGTCGTTGTTTATTCGATAATCGCGACTAAAGTACGAAGAGCAAAGAGCTCTTTTATATTATTCCTCGCTAAAATGATATTTTAGTATTACGACAAAAAAGAAGTAAAGAAGCGCAACATGTACATATAGAAACACTATATGAGCACTCGTATCTCTTTGTCGCGAGGAAATTTTGCAAAAAAATTTTTTTTTAAATTATGACTTCAATAGCTAAAGATATTTAAAAAATCTTGTTTTTTATGTTATAACATATATATATATACATATATATATCAATCTATATGCATGTGTACATACATGTATGTGTCCAAGTGGACTAATTGTGATAATTGATTGCCTCGCGAAACTGAGATATCGATTGCTCCAAAATTGTCAATCATTTGTGGATACGTCGTAAAATCGCAGAAAGCCGATGGCTAACGCCGAAACATCGTTCGTGTCTTGGAAGATATTGCTCCTTGTGTAATGATTAATTCCGCACGTTTTGTCGACATGATTGTTTCATCTTGCCTTTCCATAGAAAATATCATAAATATGCGCTAATCGCTTGACAAGTTCGTGGCCACGAAGATGTTCTAGAAGGCATTATTTTTCGTTTTTTATGAATGTGTTAACCGCGCTTCACCCTTCATTTCTTCATAATGCTTTCGCAAACACTAGAATACTTCCCAAAATTGACTTATCTGATTAATTTTATTATAATCCTAATTTTTTTCGATTTTCTTTTTAAGATAAAATTTAAAAAAGACAATAAAAAAATTTATAATAAAATAAACAACTAAATGACATAAAATAATATAACTAAAGAAAATAAACTGGTAACAATTGAAATTTGATACTTGAAATATTCTTTTCATAATCAAAAATTATATATAAAATTTGATTTGTCAAATTCTGACTTATTAGTCAAATTAAATAGTGTGATTTAATAAATTTATGATTGTTGTAACTTATTATTATGAATTGAAAATCTTTATATTTGAGTTTTATTCAAAATTATGTTTGGAATAAATATATAAATACATTGGCTTCAAATTAGTAATGTCAAATTGACGTAAAATATTTGTATAATTATATGACCAGGTTATAAAAATAATTATAATAATATTATGACATTACTTTTATTTTGATTAATGCCAACTTTATAGATCCTAATTCGTTTAATAATTCTTTAATAATTCAAATTAATTATTTTTTAATTTTTTAATTTTGTACTACTTTATATTTTTGTATCATCGAGCCTTTAGTTGCATCCGTGGCCACAAACCGCACGTTCCAGAGATCAACATGAATTATAATACGGACCTTGGGCCTACTAGCCTAGGGATACTTGTCCATACTATAAGACTTAACTAAACGATGAGATACTTCATACAGTAAACGTTGTAAATTATTTGACGTTAAGAAACATTAGGGGTAACAGTTCCTGTATTCCTCAGACATCGTACATTTCTATATTCAATTCGATAATATTGCAAACGCGTGATTATCCTTATTGAAAAAAACCAAGAAAATTTATTGACCGAATTATTGGCGAATTGGACAGAATATGTATCTAATTTTAATTATTGTATCGGATAGTTTTAATTGGATGAAAAAAATTAGGAATTATCAAACTGGGTGAATATCACTGTGGTTCCAGTTAATATTTTATTTTTCTTCAAAAATATTCCTTTGATTTCACCTAGATTTTATATTTTCTAACAATTAAACAAAATAAATCTGTTTTTAGCTTGTTTTCTGCATTTTACAGAAAATGCATATACAGTCATATTTTGGAGAAAGAAAGAGAGAAGAAAGCAATTTTTATATGTATATATTATGTGTGTAAAAAGTGAAAAAGTACAGAGTGAAGAGATTAACGTAATATTCTCGTGTGTATATGTTAACGACATTTGTCAGTATCCTTATTATTGAAAAATGTTGCATGGAACATTAATATTGAAATGAGACTTAATTTGATACTTATTGATAATTTTCAATGATATTTGTCAAAGATATTGACAAATACCGATAACGCAATCCATGATTTAATTTTTAATTAATATTTTTTTTCGCTATCTTCCGTTAAATCAGTATTGTGCAATATAATCATTAGGATATATGTGCAAATGATACTTTCTTTTTCATCTTCTTTTCCATCTTTTTCTCGATTTTTCTCCTTTCTTATTATCATTAGTCGTAAAATTGTTGCGTACTTCTTGCCAAGAAATTTGTAATGTTTTATTTATTGTCAATTATACAACATTATATGTTAGCAATTGTCGAAAAAAAGTCTCGAAAAAACACCAATTATATATGTGTGCGTGTGTTGTGCGTATACATACTGTATCACAGGGTTTAACTTACGGGTTTACTGCCACTGCTCTTTTCTCTATTTATTCTTGAACAATGCAAAATCTCTTTATTTCCAGTAATTTTTCAATAATTCAGTTATTATGTAATATTTTTAGCGAACATCATGAGAATATCAAGAGAATTTAGTAAATTAAATTTTTGAAAGGAAAAAAGAGATGAAAATAAGCTTATTCTTTAGACAATCCCAAATAACATTTGCTTAAATTTAAAAAAATTTACTTAATCTTTAATAAAAATATTTTAATTATGAAAATTTAGATTTGAAGGAAAATATAATTTTGAAGATTAAATAGTTGTAAGCGCAAAAAAATAAAAATTACAAAATTGGATCCAAAAAAGCTATTTCTTCGAAAAAAATCAAATTAATCAAAGATTCGGAAAGCAAAAAGAGCGATAATCAGTGTATGTACGCATGAGTGTGTATGTTTGTATATATTCGTTCAAATATTTTATGAAAAAACGTGCATCGATGTCTGGGAATACAGCAACTGCTTACGGGAGAGCAAAAGCGTTGGATCAGCAAGACTTAGGGCATTATACTACAAAGAGTATTATCATGCCCAACCCTTTAATATTTAAGTGCGAGTGAGAGTCTATCGAGCAAAAGAATGATAGGAAAATCTAACGAAAACGAAAAAAATGAAAAAAAAAACGCAAAAACCAGTACGCTCCTCTCGTTTGTGGGTTCAACTTTGTGTACATATTGTACGAAAAGTTTAATAATAACTATGTTGAAAGTACTAGTCCTGTCTTTGTATAATTCCGTGTTATATACTCGTGCTCGTGAAGACTGCAAGCGGTGCCGCCGCTTCGTTTTGTCAAATTACGAGGAAGTGAATGAAATTTTTTCGCATTTTTTTCTATTCTATTATTTCTCGCATTTATTGTCAATATTGAATATGCCCAGGTACGTTTGAAACGATAATTGTCTCTTTAAAAATGAGAATATTTGCTCAACGTTTGAAAAATGTAATTTTATACAAGCTTCATTGTTTTAACATCTATACCAGAAATCTCTGAATAAAGTTTAATAAAATTTTATAATTTTTATATGCAGGAGAGAAATCGAATATATATTTCTATGTAACAGAATATTTTTAAAAGTAATATTTCGAGATTTTTATTTTACACTTAAAATATTATTTTTTTTTTATTTATTTCGATTGCAAATATATAATACTGTAACAATACCATATCATTATTTTAAGATATATCACTTTAGAAGTGTTATTCGAGATGTATTATTTAATATATATCGCATTAGAGAAAAAGTCATGATACTACGTAATTTTAATATCGTGTTGCATTTAATTAATTAGTCGGCACTGAACTTATTACAATTAGATTACATTTTATTTTAATCGAATTACGTTTATATATTAGCATGACATTTTTGCTCTTTTTTATTTTTATATGAGAAATGCATATGAAAATCACTTTCACTTCTTCTTAATCGAGATGATCGGCGCGTGTCCCTTGTTGCAATTATATCGAAAGAGACACGAGAAGAAATGCAAACGTTTAACCCAGAAACGACGGTCGAGAAGAGAAGCAAAAAAAAGCCGGATTGGCTAGAGAGAGAGAGAAAAAGATACTTTTTCAATGAGTGAGTCAAAAGTTACCAATTTCTACCTACGTTTAGAGAAGAAGTATGTTTTTTATTATCTCGTTTATCTTCGATTATATTCTTTTTGTAATTGAGATTTCGGCACCATTGCGTGAATCGCCGTTTCGTCGGAAACCGAATGTCGCCCTTTTGTGATGTCGAAAACGTCTTGTGACAATTTTATGATAAATTTCCTCGATATGGCGCGAATATGGCTGCCGAGATACTATATATCTAATGTGCTTTTTATCGTGAGCCCTTTTTCTACCGCGCAGCAAGAAGCACATTGATAAAGGTCAATTATGCTGTTATTATGCATTATTTGATAAAAATTGTAATATAATATGTCGCCCCTTCCCCTTTCTACTTTCGATGAACGAAAAGTTTCATACAATTTTCTAGATCAAGTATTTTTCAATATTTTGTACATAGATTTAATGGTAAATACGCGGAGTACACGAGTAATCATAAGACTGACAAAGATTGTAGATTTTGATGCACGATTTTAAAATCGTGTTATTTGATGGACTTAAGATTTTAATCAAATTCTACACGATTTCTTTTTAAGACAAATTACCATTTATCATTTTATCACTTTCCTCGATATATCAGAAAATTCTTTGCGTGTAATCAACAATAAACTCATTTCTTGCATTCTTTTGTGCATTTCTTGCTCTATTCAAATTCCATTATAAAATTATTACAAAGTTCTCGTACATAGAATCTAATATGAATTACACGTAAGCAGCAATACAACTCATTAGATTGATAAAAATCATTATTGGATCGATAGAAGCGCATGTAAAGACAAAAAAAAATATTATTTCATTAGAATGAAAAAGCATGTGACGTAATTCGACCAATTTGATCGAGGGTTTTTGGTTTCAGGCGAAACAGGCCAAATTTCACGAATGGCGCGTGCGAACCCCCCTGTATTTTTATGAATAAATAAGATATTTAAAGAAGAAAAAAAGAGAGAGAAGTAAATCTGAAGTCTGTTTGGAGATGCCTTTCATAGGGATTATAAATGTAGATAATATATTATACATAATGAACATAAATACGCTATATTATTATATATAAATATATATATATATATATAAATATAGTAAGAAGTAAATAGAATTATTATATATATATATATGATGAAAATAATATTATTACGAGTAAATATATATATAAACTGATTAAAGATTAATAAAAAAAAACTCGTCCGCCGTTTAATCATAAATCTCATACCTATTCTCCTGCATATTTCTCCTCATTTTATTTATAGTGATTTGTATTTGTTTTTTGATTGCAATTACTTACATATACATATCAGGAATATTATTGATAAACAATCAAATGCGATTTTTCACGCGTTTTTATTACAGACGTTCTTCATTACATTAACATAACAAAGTCTATACTTTCAAGGTACATGATAATCGTTTTAAAATGATGTCTACCTGTGAGATCTTTAAGGATTATGCGCAGTGTTCAAGCTCCCGCACGGAGCACATTAAGCTAAATTAGTCTTCGTTATTTTATTTATTTTGCAAATTGTCTTTATTTGTTCTCTCTCGCGAGTTTGCCGATTGGTAGTCATCGTTGATCGAGTCGTCGCAAGCGCTTGGACACTTCGATAAGATTAAAGCGATCACAGACAGAGGCATTTTGGAAGAAGAAACGTCGCGAACACCCCGATAATTGATACAGAGGCTAATACTTTTCAGGATTTCTATGATATCCGTATCGCACATAGGATGTTCCCATCGTTGCGACTCCATTTCACGACTCGGAGGCTGCAAGTGTAGCGAGTCGAGTTTGTAACGCAAGCTCCGTGTCTCGTTTCGTTCTCTCGGGGATATGCTCTTTATCTGATGTGTAATATATTATGTAAAATTAAGCGTAATTGTACGTTGCAATAAATGTAGTAAACAAATAGATAATATCTTGCGCGCGTAATGTAAAATATAAGACCTAAAAAGGGAGTAGGGGTATAGTAAAATTTGTAAAACGTAAACATCGTAGAAAAGTTTCACGAAAAAAGAAAACATTTACTCCAAATATAATAAGCAGAAAGCTTGCGAAATAAGACATTAAAAGAGGAATGATAAAAAGAGATTTCGTACACGTTCTTGTTAAGCTCTGGTATTTGCATGACTCTTCGTCCTTATGTTAGTTCGTCTATGATTATCTGTCAGTAAGAAAGCATTTATACTTCTAGTAGACCGTCATGTTATAGTTCTGAAGGCACTGTTCAAAAGTTTATTATATTTCTTAAAATAACGGGTCTTCACAAAACCACATGGTCTGACAAGGAGAGTCGTTATAAACATCGACATGACCATTGCACGCGCCTCCTTCGATCTATATCACAAAATTCAAAATAGAGTAGTCTCAACTTGACAGCCAGTGCCACAATGCCAATGCCGTATTTGTCGGGTCTGTGATCGATTAGGAATTATCGTGAGCTAGCAAAAATCGATGGTCAGAATTCAGGCTTATGATACGCAATGGCCGGTGCATCCATTAATTATGTCATATCAATATCGTATTATTATATTACACAAACGCTTATTAATTTAGAGGCACATTGCAAGGGTTTCGGTTTTTTTTTCCTTTTAAAGTTGCTCCCTACATTAATGAACTTATGACAATTAGCTAATTACGATTATTTAGTACGACAGCGATTTGGCATACATTATTGGAAACTGTACAGATTTCGGAGAATACAATAGTATTTGAAAATATTGCTTTGTACATATATATATAGAGAGAGAGATAGGGAGAAATGCGACGAGAACAAACGGTGAATACTTTTTGGAAAAAAAAATAACAATACGTATCTCGAGATACTTTACGGTAATATTGAGCTCAGAATTTCTTAAAATTAGACATAAAAATGTCAGGTGCATAAAAATAATAAGAAAAACTTCTAGATGTATAACGATTCAGATTTCCTTACCTAGGCAGGAAACTTTGGCTCTATCGCTACACGCTATTTGTACCTCGGCGAAAGAGCCGAATTTACGATTCTGCTACTAAGAACACTGATTGCGCGTCTAGAAGAAAAAAACTGCACGCAGCACACACAGTACCTAAATCAGAAACATATCATTTACATGTTCAGGAAGACCTTAACAGTACTATATATGCTCACGCTTTAATAAACCTGAATTCTACGCACGATTGCAATCAAAGAAGCATTCACTGTACTCAGAGAGTGTACTTTGCCGGAATGTTTAAATGTGGTATATTTCCTTTTTTTCTTTTTTTATTTAATCATTTGCACACAGCACTGAACTATTTTTGTTATTCGCGTTCATAAATTATTTGAAAGCTCTTAGTCTTTTGAACATCAAAGTCCAGGATGCTGCTCTGAGATATGAATGCTCTATTGGATGTACACAGTAGACAGCAAAAGCGTCTAGACCACAGAATGTTCACATTTGCTCTGGTGCAAAATATTGTTTCTTTTTTTCTCGAACTACAAAAATCAGGCTGATGCAATGGCAGATACTATGTATATATATAAAAGTTAGCTTTATAACATGTAAAACCTGATAAAGTTCTTAAAAAATCTAAAGAACATTCCCTGAACAAGAGCAATCACATGACAATTCAGTCCCTAAATATTTCGTATTTCAATCGTAAAACGCATCAAATAATTTTTTCTTTTTCTTTTTTTTTTTTTTTTTTTAAGGGAATCAAAATTCTAGAGTAATATGTATAATCGGCTTGTGATATATTTTATCGTTCCGTCATGGTACCAGCCTGGGTCTGATCAATATAGTCATGTGATTCCGTACAGTCTAGACACAGACACTTCTCTCCTGCATTCGTACAAATGAGCCACTAAGTTAGATCACAAAAAGTATGGTGTGGGCGTTAAAGGTGGGATTACTCTCTCGGAATCAGGCACTGCCTGGAACAGCACGGGTGTTCTCTGATCCACTGTTGTGAACTGCATGATACTAGCTACATTACCACATCGGTAACAATAATTTGGGGCTGACCATACTGTGACAAGTTTGTCATTAAACATGTACCTATAACCTGCCAAGATAAGAAGTACATATTATCCATGTATATTTTTCGTCCAAAGAAAATACGATAAAAATTAACATATTAAATATCATTGTAATATTTATGAATAAAAATAATATACCTTCTTGAACTAATTGATGTGCCCTACAGATGAGTTTAAGATCATTTACTTCCATAAACATGTAAGTCACTTTACTGCCAAATAACCAACCTGCACCACGCGGGCTTACTGTCCATGTTTCTACATCCTCTGGATCAGACCAGACCAAATCACAGAAAGCACCTATAATGCAGTAATTGAATAAAAAAGTCAATATCGTTTTACAATGTGTTTTATGAAAATAATATGTCTGTTATGTAATATTTAGATAATGTAAAATGTCAAATATCATTTTATATAAATAATATATTTTAGTTTTCATTATATATACCTTTGTGTGGAATCTCTTGATTCCTTTCAATCGTTCTAATTTGATCTAGTGTTCTAATCGCCGGTGATAATCCACCATGTACACAAAGAACCTGTTCATCGATTAACTGAAACAAGACATTTTATTCAAGTAATGTAAATATAGAAAATATTGTAAAATTTTGGAAAAAAATCTTTCATACTTACGGCAGCAACTGTGAGCAAGTCAAATACCCTACAACAGTACTTCCACGCATTAGCATTACCATATTTGTTTTGGCATTCATCTATAACCAATGATAAAAAAAAAACAATAAAACTCTTGTAAACAGTATAACTGAGCATAAAGTGATAAAAAAATTACTTACCGTAAAATCCATAAACGTGCGTGATTTGTCTAGATTCGTGATTACCACGAAGTAGCGTTATCCTATCGGACCATTTAGCTTTAAGTGTAAGCAACCGAGTGAATGTTTCTAAACTGTAGTAGCCTCGATCGACAAAATCACCCAGGAATATATAATTCGTATCTGGTACAGGGCCACCGTTGCGAAACAATTCCTCTAAATCGTAAAACTGCAACAATAAATGATCATGTGAGCGTCCCAAGATGTATAATTGAACCATGACTATGTACATTACTGTAGAGAATTCCAAAGCCGAGAGACATATTATACGAGAAACGAAAGAGAATAACGATACTGAATACGTTGAAATTCCATGGAATCCTTTAGGACTTAAAAATCAATCAATTCTATACATTGCTATAAATACTCCTAGCTTAGGTTAGGCCGCACATCCACTTACCTGGCCGTGGATATCGCCGCAAACCGTCACCGGGGTGGATACGGGCTGGATGTTGGACTCCTCCAGCAACAGATCACATACCATGTCACAGAGTTTCTGTCGGCAAAATTGTAAAAATTGACATGAACGTCACATTGAGGAGAGATAGGGCAAACACACGGACGAGGCAGGGGCGAGTAACCTAGTCGCGGGATCAAAATTAAATCGCACGGGGAAACGTATCGGCCAGTGCGCACGTGTTGCTTTACCTTGAGGTCATACTCGGGCAGGTATTTGCATTCTTTCGCGATCTCTATCCATTTATCGATGTCTGACATTTTGGATTCGCACTGTAAGAAAATACTGATCGCGCCCCCATAGAGCTATATACATACGTCGTCTGTACGCGCCCAATGTTACAGGAACTCGTACACAGGGAGATGGTGGAGGCGCTCGACGGTTAAAAAAATCGAGCGGATACGCATCGAAGCTCGCCTCCACATGAGAACGCGCTTGAAGGTCTGTTCTAGAGAGGACTGAGAGGTGTCATGGCCCGCTTTTAGGCGATCTCTGAAAGCGATAGGCCGGGTCTACAATAGACAATTTAAGACCTAAGCCTTAAAGCTATTCTACAATGGCCGTAGCATAAGATTGTAAGGCGTAAGATTCAAGAAATTGACCAAAATTGATCAAGTATTAAGAGAATACTCGACTGTGATTGGTCAATTTCTTGAGTCTTACGTCTTACAACCTTATGCTATGGCCATTTTAGAATGGCCTTTAAGAAATTGACCAATCACAGTCGAGTATGAAGGGATACTCGACTGTGATTGGTCAATTTCTTAAGGCTTAGGGCTTAAATTATCTATTGTAGAGCCGGGCGTACACCCTCTGCCGGGCATTAAAAATATGAAACTACAAAGCCAATGTTCACGAATATTATCAGACGATAACATATATGTTATCCTCTTTTTAAATCCTTTTTTTAAATTTTGTCTTTGATAAATAATATAAATTAAAGTATCCCGTGATAGTCGAAATTTCGAAAACGGAGTGAGGGATCAATCAAAATCATCTCGCCGTTTCGATTTTTCGATAGCCTCATTTCCTATGAAATGATTTTTACGGAAAATGGAATGTTATTCTAACCTTAAAACGTCTTTTAATCTAGAAAATACCTTCTGTTATAATAAAAAAATACATCTAAATTATATTCACTTTCTTTTATTCAGATTCTTTTATTATAATAATTATGTTCTTATCATAATTAAAATGATAAAAATAAATTTTTCGATTTCCTGAAATAATTGCAAACATGACGGAAGCTTCTTGCATCTTGAAAGCATCACTTTCGGTTAAAACATCTTCAAATCGAACACATCCTATCTAGATATTTTTGCATCATGACTGTTGGTCACGTTCAAGATTAATCGGCAATTTCATAACGAAATTATAACGAGTTTTTGACAACTGCTTGATTCATTGAGACACGAAATATAAAATTGACAAGAACGTGGCATAATTATCTCCAGCTCGAATCATAATACTGTCAATTCTGTTGAATCGTATCACTCCGTATTTTACCTGTCATTACTGTCGCGCATGCGAAAAATCTGGCCCGACCAACACACTGTTAAAAATAACAAGCCGATGGAAGCGCACATTTATATACACACATAAGAAGGAAAGTACATGCAATATGTTACTAAATGTACTTATATACTCAACCACGAATCAATCGATACGGCCGTTTCGGGGGCGATTCCACTTTCTCCCCTTATACCTGGCCAAAAAAAAAAAAGGCGAAAGGTGGGAAGAGAAAAACGAGATTAGACTCACTTTCGCGGCGAAAATTCCACCGCGTGATTTTGAAAATCTCGCGGGCGCTCGCTACAAATCCGTTTCCCATTCATGCGCATCACCTTAAGGGATCTCGCTCGAATCAAGAGCAAACTAAACATTCATGTATTCGGAACATTCATGTATTCGAAAGGAAGAAAAGGACAAGGAGGAGCTTCGAGATGAACAGGCATGGCACAGCTGATATCGGGGCATCGATTGTTCGCATCATCGGAAGCGAGTCGAATTTCCGTTGCGCGCGCGCGCGCGCGCGCACTTGACAATTCACGCGTGGGAGCGCGGAGTAAAAAGGTCAGAGCGTCGACGGACGATATGGATTTTATCTCGCGGCTGCGAAAGTGGGTCACGACGGTGGCGGCTTGTGCGCACGCTTCGATTATCGATTGAACCGCCCTCTTTCTCTCTCTCTCTCTCTCTTTCTCTCGACGACGCGAGGAGTCGTCGATCAGTCGTCGTCGCGTTCGACCGCTCCGTTCATCCTCTCGTTTACGCGCGGCGCCGTAAAAAGTACTGGTACTAGTACGGTGCTGCTGCTCGTACTTCCGAGCAATCTTCCAATTCCTCTTCGCGCGGAAACGTACCCGCGTATATCGCGCTAAACGTGACGGGAGCGAGGCCGATGCGAGATCGCGCGATTCGTATCGTTGCCGCTCTCGCGGGGAAGATGCGGTGAAGCGAGCGTGCGCGAGCAGCCTTCGCGGAAATCGGCCATCTTGCTTAGTGTACGGTTAGACCCCGTAACGAACGGCCACTCGCCTCCGTCAGCCACCCTTAGGGCGGACGTACGTGGGCGCGCAGGCGGTGGCGGAGCATCGGCAGCATCGGCATCGGCAGCTCCAGGTGGAATCGCGACTCGCGTACTCGCGGGAGAGAGAAGAGGAGTGCGCCTGCGTCCGTGTGTGTGTGGGTTATATGCGTGTCGGGGCGCCCTAGCGTGCGTGTACGAGCGAGCAGTGCAATAACGCGGCTTACGCGACTCCGACGACAGGATGGCGGGCAACACGGGCATGGAACAATTGATCCCGATCGTCAACAAGCTGCAGGATGCGTTCACGCAGCTCGGCGTGCATATGCAGCTCGATCTGCCGCAGATCGCGGTGGTGGGCGGCCAGAGTGCGGGCAAGAGCTCCGTGCTCGAGAACTTCGTCGGCAAGTGAGTATCCTCCCTCCCTTCGTCGTTCCTGGTGGTATCCTTTTCTCCCTTCGCAGCCTCGAGATCGGGAGAAGGAAACGTGCGAAGTCTTTCGAACGGACGAGACGAGATATTCGAGTATCTCGGGCTTATCTCATCATCTGGTGAGATAAGAACGATCGAGCACGAACATCGTCACCACCGTTGTTTGTCCCTCATCCGAGATTGCTTCCTTTACGGTTATGTTTCTGCATTTTTTATCCTTCTCTCTGAATTTTGAGTACGGCTTGCTTTTTACTTCGAAGGGGAGGATGTTTGACAGATGAGAGAAACGTCTTTTACTTCGATTCGGCGCCGACGTCTTCGTCGATACGTAAGTCCTAGGCGTGGCGAAACACGCGGGACCTTTTCGACCTCTTGACATGGTTGTCGTCGTTCGATTAATGTTAAAGTTCGACGATGATGATGGCGAGAGGGAGGACCGTTTGACAGTCGTCGCCTCGTGCGTCATCCTCTTCGTGCGAGGCATGGATGAACGCGAAACGGGGCGAGCGTGAATTTACGACGTCAAAAACGCCCACAGGACGACCTGTCAAATGTCTTCTTGTCACCGGAGCACTTTAGAAGAGCGTCCGTTCATGCGCAAAACAGATTTAGGCGAGACGGTTTTACACTCTTGTAGACTCTCGTCAAGCTTCACATTCCAACGTCCCGATTAAACGAAGAATTTACAATTACATGCACAGACATAAAATGTTAGTTTTGAGAACTTACAATTGATGGAAACATGAAAACTACAAATTAAATAATTTCAAAACTAGCAATTTTTTTAATTTTTTAAAAATTATTTATTTGTTATATTTAATTAATTTTTCTCATATATCTATATTTAATATCTCTGGTATTTGAAATATATTTTTATATTCTACATAGAAATTATAATAGTAATTATTTTTATAGTGAGAAATTTTGAGAAATTTTTATGATGCAAAATTGATTCATTGTACGACATTGTCAAATCATGTTGCACATACATAGTCTTTTCAGTATTATTTTTTCTTTCTAAAGAATCCTGATGAATTTGTTAATGTCAATCTATAATAAAAAAATTTAAAAAAAATAAAATAAAAAACTTATCAGTGAAAGGATGTATTACAAATCATTTCTAAGATAAAGTAGATAATCAGACAAGTATGCATATTTTTATCAAAGAGAATGAAGATATTATCATGAAACAAATCATTACTATCTGCATTTTAGGCTTACGTATATATTTTTAATTAATTATTTTAAATTTTTAAAATAATTAAGGGGGACTAATCCATCGTTGTTTTCAAACAACACTTAAATGCACATTATATGTATTTTCTTGTAAAAAAATATGAATGTATTAATTATGACCAATTATAACAATGAGTCTTCTTTCCCAGAGACTTTTTGCCCAGAGGTTCTGGCATTGTGACAAGGAGACCGCTCATCTTACAGTTGATTAACTGTTCAACTGGTGAGTCGTAATAAATAAGGCTGATTATATCATTTCTCTTTTGTTTTGATATTTAATTAAATACAAAAATTTTTACATATGTATAATAATGTCTTTAGAACATCTTTTGTGTATATGTTATTAGTTTTAAAGATATATATACATAAAAGAGAATTTAAAAAATATAGTCTTCTACGGACTCATAATATCATCTTGTTAACCTATTGACTCGTATACTTATGACAATTTTTTTCTTTTAAGCAAGGCATTGCTTAATGCATTTAAATCATTTATATGTGATCCTCTGGTTAACTCCTGTTGAGAAATTTTAATGCACTATGCGTGATATATTTATTATAGTTTATAGATAAATTCATAAAAACAACTATTGATTTTATCATTTTGTAGTATAAAGTAGAATTGATAAAAGTTACTCTCTTGAACTTTGTCATTATCATACTCTTTGTGTCATACTTCCTGAGCCTAAAATTCTGATAAGCCATAAGTTGAGCACATTGTAAAATAGAATGTAATAAAAATGTATATATATTAAAGAATATATATAAAATATTATTTTCAATACTTTCATTTATTTTTTTTTATTCTTTTTAATACATAATAATAAGAATAATTATAAATAATTATAAAAATTCAATTAAATTACTTTTTTCTTATATTGTAGAACACGCAGAGTTTCTGCATTGCAAAGGTAAGAAGTTTATAGATTTTGATGAAGTGCGAAAAGAAATTGAAGCTGAAACAGACAGAGTAACTGGAAGTAATAAGGGCATCTCTAATATACCAATTAATCTTAGAGTATATTCACCCAATGGTAAGTAAAATAAAGAAGTTATTTAAATAAAAAATAATAATCGTTATTTATAATGGCATATTTTTATCTTTTTGCAGTCTTGAATTTAACATTAATTGATTTACCTGGACTTACAAAGGTACCAATCGGAGATCAGCCAGCAGA